CCGACCTCCCCCATCGCCCTCACCAACGCGCCCCCCTGCAGCCACCCAGACGCGGCTCGGGACGTGGCAGAGGCTGCACCCAGCCAGGCCTCAGTGGCTCTGCACAAAGCCGGACGCCCCGCCTAGGGTCCGCCCAGGGGTCCACGCCCCCCCACCCCCCCGCCACAGGTACCCAGGACACAGCAGGGACCAGGAGGCACTGGCTCACCGGATGATCCAAGTCCAGGTCAGGGTCAAACTTGGTGACCAGGTGGTGACACTTGTCCAGCTCAGAGGCTTTCCTTGGGAACCAGAGGACTTCACGGTGGACGGAAGGAAGGAGGGGCCGGGTGAGCATCTGGCTTTGGGGGGATGAGGGAGGGCGGGACCCACCCGGGAAGCAGCCTCGGGGACTCAGGGGTGGCCAGGGACTGAGCCAGATAGAGGTGGGTGGTCTTGCAGGGGCCCTGGGATGCGGAGAACAGGGGGCCGGGTCCAGCAGGGGAGGCCCCCCTGGCCGCACCACCCGGTCGCTTCGGGGCTCCCCCGAGGGCGCGTCTGCACCCCGCCGTCCCCCTCCAGGACGGGGCAAGTGGCCTCACCCCTGTTCTCTCCGGCCCCACGCACGTCCTCGGCCACCCGGCGCACGGAGCTGATCAGGGCGGGCAGCGTGGCACTGGGCACCGCGCAGCGAACGAAGCACTCCAGCTGGGGGCCCCCCGCCCGCGGCCTCCGGGGGGGCCGGGTCTCCAGGTGGTGGATCTGGGCTTCGAACACCTGAGGCAGCGAAAGCGGGGGGTGGGGGCGAGATGGAGAGGGGGAGGCAAGGGGGAGGTGAAGGGAGCCCCCGGGGCCAGCCGCCCCGCTGCACCCCGACTTCCGCAGCCAGAGACTCAGGCCAGAGCCCTGCTGGGCGGGGTGCACGGCCGGAAACCTGGATTTTGTCTCGTTTGTCTAGCAGCTGCTGTCACAGTGCTCCCCTTGACCCAGTGTCCTCGGGGTGCTGTCTGTGCATCTCTCGGCCACATCAGAAGGCCACCGGTCAGTCAGAAGGTCCCACCGTCCCTGGCCTGGTGGCCTCATTGGGCCCACTGGCCACACCCCAGGCTGAGGGGGACCCTGGAGCCCACTGTGGCGAGGTCAGGAGGCTTGGACCCGCTCAGCGAGGATGAGGGCCCCCGGACTGGCGGGAAGGTCTGCTGCACCCCGCTCCCTTCGCCCAGAAACGGGGTGGTCTGCTGCACCCCACTCCCTTCACCCAGAAGCGGGAAGGTCTGCTGCACCCCGCTCCCTTCGCCCAGAAACGGGGTGAAGCTGCATGGGTCCCATGGCCCTGGGCCACGTGGCCAGCACGGGGGCTTGAGAGCCGTCTGGCCGTAATGTCATTTGGGCGCCTGAGCCGGGGGCCAGTCTCCGGCCCGCCCAGCCTGGTGTGGCCAGAGCAGGCAGTGCAATCAGCTGCCACGTCAGCCAGAGCCCACAGGGGCAGGGGGGTGGGGGAGACCCCCACACAGGCCGCCCTGTGCCCAAGGGTAAGGTGCTGGGCGTGGGGAGTAAGTGGGGCACAGGGCTCGGCGGCCTCAGTGGGCCCCTGAGGACCTGAGGGGTATGGTGAGGGCCCCTGGGACCCTCCTGCTTGTGGCCCTCAGTGGGTCCCGCCCACGCTGGCCCCGAGGTGTGCCCGCTGCGCCCTTACCTCGAACGCCTTCAGGGCCCGAGATAGCGGGGCGGGCTTGTCGCCCCGCAGGGTGAAGAGTAGGCTCAGCACTGCCTTGCCATCCTTGTCCACACACGCCCCGGCCACCAGGGCCTCCCCGGGCTCCGCCGCCGCCGCCTGGGCCTCTGCCTTCTCACGCTCCTTGCGGGCATCCTCGATGAGGCTCTGCCTCCGGCTGACGAAGCGCGGGGTCTGCGGGGACGGGGCCAGCTCACCCCGGCTCTGGGGCTCTGGCCCAGCTGCGTCATGGGCACCTACTGTGTACTCCGGAGGGACATGCTGCATCATGAGCACCTACTGTGTATCCGCAGCAACCTGCTGGCCAGGCTCCTGCTGGCCAGAACCTAAGCCCAAGTCTCCTGGCATCATGGGGTCAGGGGTGCGTGCATGGCACCAAGATGCTATCACCTGTCACCAGGCCTGGCCCTGATTGCATTAGGTGAGTGACTTGGGAGCGTCATCTACTGCCCCCGGGGCCCAGATGGGTGTGGCCAGGACCCAGGGAAGGCCAGCGAGCATGAGGCCTGGCTGTCTGGCAGGGAGCGGCCCCCGCCTGGTCCCCGTCCCCTCCCAGCCTCTCTGTACGAGTGACCTCTCCCCATGGTCCCTCCTGGCCCTTCCCCAAGTGCGGCCACACTTCCCCTCCGTCTGGACACAGGCGCCCTTGTCCACAGCCTGTCCCCGAGGCCGTGAGCCCCTGGGGTCGAGGTGTCTGAGCCCCTCCCTGCACAGAGCCCCCAGCCCTGGACGGAGGAGCGGCGGCACATCTGGGCACGTCCCTTGCAGCTGGACTTCCAAGACAGTTCTGGTGCCTTGGGTCTTGGAATATGGTGGGGGAGGGTGCAGGGGCAGCCCCTTCTGGAGCCCCCACATGACCTCAGGGTGGTGTGGACAGGGCCAGGGCTGCAGCCTCCGGCCAAGAGACTCTGTGATGCCAGGT